ATTATTTATTTATTTATTATTATTATTATTATTTCAATTGCTATGTCGCTTATATAAAGGTAAGATAATACTCTAGTAGCGAGGGAGGCTGGGTGGAACGGGCACGCCGTTTCTATAATACTATCATCTAAGTAGAGTTCCGCGGCAAATCGAGGGACACGTGACCACTCACCCTGTTTTTCTCTTTATTTATTATGTTTTTTTTTCTTTTTTCTTTTACTTTTTTCCTCCAGTTTCTTTCTCCCTCTCCCTCTCTCTCTCTTTTTCTAATCTCTCTTCTCTCGTGCGACGTGTGTGTGTGTGTGTGTGTGTGTGTGTGTCTGTCTGTCTGTGTGTGATGAGATCGGCTGTCTGTCCGTTGGTAGTTGTACGTAGGTGTGACATGTGACCGCGTGTCCTATGTATGCGCGTATCGCGCTGTGTATATGCGTGTATTTGTGTGTGTGTGTGTGTGTGTGTGTGTGTGTGTGTGTGTGTGTGTGTGTGTGTGTGTGTGTGTGTGTGTGTGTGTGTGTACGTAACATGCGTACGTAACGCGTGTACGAGTGAGCGTGTACAGGGCTATAAGTTACGTCAAGTATGGGCAATTCTCCGGTAATCGTTTTCACTGCGATTATGTAAGGACAGGCTCGCAGGTCCCGGAAGTGCATCGAGTCGATACATCCGGCGATAGTGCGCTGCTTCCGCGAAAAGTTTTCACTTGTCATGAGATAAAACGAGTGACCAGAGAAGAATAGATTATACTCCAAGGATACATTGCCACCTGTTATGGTTGGCCTCGAAAGTTATTAGCGGAGAAACTTTGGAAGCTCGATTATCGACGGATGCACGGCCTATCCCTCTCTACGCTGCTCTTGATTAGTCGATTCGTCGCTTACCGAACGCACACCGTGGCGACCACGTGACCTAACCTGTACGCGATTCATCGTCCAGACTCTTTTTCTCTTTATAAAACCTACGAAAACATTTTACGTATGTCTTCCGAGATTCTTGCTCTTCGATCACTGTGTGTATGTGTGTGTGCGTGTGTGTATGCGCGTGTGTGTGTATATACGTTACGGAGAAGAAAAATAACAGTTTGCTTTCCGTTCTCTCGAGTCTTGTTGGCACGATCAGCTGTTCGTGCGCCGCCATGTTTGAGCGGGGGTCACGTGGTCGCGGGCGACACGAAGAGCGTAACGATCGAGAGAGCGAATGAACTCTGCCGCGACTGCGCACTAGGCGCATCCGAAAGCGCGTGTATATATCTGTGCCGTGGACGGAAATCGGGCCTGGTAATTTCCATAAAACGTTCAGAACGATAAATAGGACGTTTACGATGATTGGTACCGCTTTCTAAATAAAAATATATAGAGCTCGTAAAAATTTTATTTATCAGTGTTTTGCAAGCACCCTTGATATATAGTGTTTCATAATGTTCCGCGGGGAATGACGCGATAAAAATTACCATCCCCGAGCCCTGTCCGCGGCCCCCTGTTCTCTCGTTCACCGGCGGTGAAAGAAGGATAACGCATATAAAAATATCCGAAAAACTATCCAAGTGTCCGAGAGTTCTCCCCCTATTTCGTGTTTGTTCCGATGAGCGCTGACTCTCACCGTGGATTGTCAATCATATAAAAAAATAACATCTACGCTAATTAAAAGGTCCGCGATGAAACCGCGATATCTGATTCGAGATTATAATTCGTCCATTCCATTATCTAGACTGCCTTCGATTCAAAAAGAATTTGTAGAAAAATACGAATATACCGTGATGAATACAATCAGCGAATGGAATGTTATTGCAATGAAACGTTATTGCAATCGATACGAAACGCGCTATATATCTTCAGCCTAATTTTCCTTCTTCTCCTTCTGCGAGCAAAGCAGCATCTCTCTCTCTCTCTCTCTCTCTTTCTCTCGGTGGTCAACAGTCCCGCCGCCATCGCCAAGGTATCGAACGGTGCGCGCGTGAAACTTTTCCCGATAGTTCGAAGGCAACCCCATAAACGGCAAAGCCAAACGAATCCTTCTTCCACGAACAAAGAGAGCCTTATATGTATATATATGACCATTCCTCTCCGTCACGCGACAGCTCGACGCCCGTTTCCCCGTCGGACGCGTGACAGATCGCGTCAACGAACCTGCGAGCCTGATATCTCTACTACGTATGCATATATTGAGGGTAAAAGTATGAAAACGATGACAATGAATGAGCGAGTAATGTTTCTCCTCTCTCTCTCTCTCTCTCTCTCTCTCTCTCTCTCTCTCTCTCTCTCGCCCTTTCTCTCTCTGCCTCGCATGCACGCACTCTCTTTCTCACGCACTCATTCGCTCACTCTTTCTCTCACGCAATCTCTCTCAATCTCCCGTTCCATATATATTCTCGTTAGAACTTAAAAGCTGACTTCGTTGTATTCGGTCGGCGGGAACGACGCGACAAGTTAGCATTTATATCGGGGCATTCCCGGCGCGTAGAAGAGGTTATTGGCAGCAGTGGAATTGAGACATTGTGCGCGTCCGTTCCCCCGACGTCGCGGCGGCATAGGTGCGCGAACCGGGGGATACGAGCTTATACGGAAAATTCGGGGGTGGGCGTTCTCCGGCGCCGTCGTTCCTGGATGAGCCGCCAAAAGTCGAAGAGCAGACATGTCAATGGTGTGAGAATCGGTATACAGCCGCTGTACCAGGTGCCGCGACGCAGACAGGAGCCTGAAGGATCTCCGGGTTGGCTGGAGTCGGTGCTTAAGAGAAGATACGAAGCGCCTGTAAAACGGGCCTGGAGCAGACGGGGCAGCTGGGGTCGGAACTCTCGCAGACCCGGTTGCCGCAGTCCAGGCAGAAATGATTGTGTCCGCACGGGACCAACGCAGCGGTGACCTCCTTGTCGCCGCACACCACGCATTCCCGTCGTCCGCCGCCCAACAGCGAGTCCGTGGGTGACGTCGGGCTCGTGGACGCTGGTGGTGATGGCCTGGAGGGTAGCGCGACGCTGGGGAACGACCAGATAGAGGAGGCTGAGGCTGGCTGAGACTCGAACGACGGCGACTCGCCTAGACCCTCGTCCCTTTCCATCCCTGCGCCCCAGATCGCCACGAGATCGTTCAGTCCAGGTGCACCGGAACTGCTGGACGAGCTGCTGCAACTTCCGCTGCTGGAGAACGCGCCGCTGGACCCGTTCGAGCCATTCGAGCCGTTCGAGCCCGGTGCGTCGAGGCAACCGAGGATCGAGCCCAGGCCACCGCGACAGAGCACGCTTAGCAGTTCCGAATCGTCGAGGGCGGTTCCTGAGCCGGTTCTAAGTGCTATGTGTGCCTCGATCTCGCGTCTCGCAGCCTCCACGCTCTCGGGTAGTCCGGTCACCTCGAACACCGGCTCCTTGTCGCGACTCGGCGTCACTATGTAGGTGTGCGTCTGATGCTGGATTCTCTTGATGGTCGCGCCTTTCGGCCCGACGACCAGGCCCACCACTCTGTACGGCACCCGTACCAGAGTCGTCACGTGGCCCGGCACAGACGCCGGCGGCCCAGGTGGTGTGCCCATTATCGCGCCCAGCGAGCACTTGCGCGTCGCCCGGATCTGAGAGAAGTGCTCCGCCGCTGACAGGATCTCGCGTTTTGCACGGGCCACGTCCTCCTTGCGCCCTGTTACCACGAACACCGGCTCCTCGCCGCGCACCGGGGTCTTAATGTAAGTGTTGGTCTTCGCTCGCAGTGCTTTGATTTTACAACCTGCAATCAAACGGGAACGATCGTTTAGATACAATTTTCTGCGAAACAAGTACCAGAGTGTAGGGCTTTTTTTTACACCGATAGTGGAGTAATTGCACCGCTCGGTTCCAGCGTAATTCGCCTTGCTTTCCGTCTTTAATCTCTATATCGTTATTCACCCGTAATCGATGACCAATTTTTCAGCAAATTCTCTGTTCTCTGTAAAGCCGAGATCCAGAAAATTGCTCCTTTTGCCTTTTTAATCGGACAACGTGTAAAATTACCCGCTTATCTTCTCGTCCCAACGTCTCGAGAGCGGTCGCTCTGATTGAAATTGAAACGACCGATGGGGCAAGGATTGTTACTTACAAGTGTGAATGATACGTCTGTGTCTATGCACAGTGTGCATTACGACGAAAATAATATATTGCATTTATTATTCACCGATATTTGTACAGGCAGATATTAAACATTTGTATTCGCTGTTTCTGATACGTAAAATAGTGTGCACAGCGAGAGGGAAGTGTCGGGATTTTAGTAGAAAAATTAGAAAATTTTATATTCGTTAGAACATGCACCATCGGTAGGTATAATGTCAGTTAAAAGCATCGTTAATTAAATGGCAAAGCGTTTCGACGTAATATCGACCCACCGAACACACTAGCGCCGCCACGGTCTACATCTCCAGTGATTACCGTACACTCGCTGCGGATACCCCACCCCTCCTTAAACGCTCGAGTTTAATATTTATATACTGCTTATTAAACAAGTATATACTGGGTAGTCCACCAAAATCTGCAGTTGCATTACAAAATACCTCGAACAAGTAATTGCAGGCTACGAAGAAGAATACCCCGACGGTATTTTATCTCCGTGCATATCACGTGCACGGTATAATTGGTTTTCTTGTACCAAGAAAGAAGCAGAGCGAGGAATATCTAACAAAACTGCGCTACTGTTCTTCAAAACACGTGTCCATCACACAAACTGCTGTATGGGCTAGGCTATTCCACGTCTCAAACACTAGGTTATTCAACCCTTAGCTACTTTATCTATCTATCTCTAGCTGGGCAAGCTATACCCACGTTTCAACTGACTTAGTCACTTCTCTATGAACCACTTTCTGTATTAAAAACATTGACACGGCTAAAATCCAAAACTATCCAACCCTTAGTCACTTATATCTAAGGGTTTTCTAGCCAGGAAAGCTGTACTGGATCCAAAAGACATCGTCCTACCAAACAGCGTCAGGTAACTTATTCCCAGCTCTATGGACGACTTTCTGTTTTAAGAACATTGACACAGCTCACATACTAGAACTATGCAACCTTTAACCACTTGGTGTAGGGATTTTTTAGTTAGGAAAGCTGAACTGTAACCAAAAGACATCGTGTTTAGGTAACTTATTCCCAGCTCTATGGACGACTTTCTGTTTTAAGAACATTGACACAGCTCACATATTAGAACTATGCAACCCTTAACCACTTGATCTAGGGATTTTTTAGTTAGGAAAGCTATACTGTATCCAAAAGACATCGTGTCCCACCAAATAGCTTTAGGTAACTTACTCCCGCTACCTTTATTGACCACCCTGTCTTCTGAACACTGACACAGTTCAAATACTAGCACTGTGCAACCTTTAACCACTTGGCCTAAGAATTTTCTAGCTAGAAAAGCTGTATTGTACCTAAAAAACATTGTCCCACCAAATAGCCTTAGGTAACTTACTCCCACTACCTTTATTGACCACCCTGTCTTCTGAACATTGACACAGCTCACATACTAGCACTGTGCAACCTTTAACCACTTGGTCTAGGGATTTTTTAGTTAGGAAAGCTATACTGTATCCAAAAGACATCGTGTCCCACCAAATAGCCTTAGGTAACTTACTCCCACTACCTTTATTGACCACCCTGTCTTCTGAACATTGACACAGCTCACATACTAGCACTGTGCAACCTTTAACTACTTGGTCTAGGGATTTTTTAGTTAGGAAAGCTATACTGTATCCAAAAGATATCGTGTCCCACCAAATAGCCTTAGGTAACTTACTCCCACTACCTTTATTGACCACCCTGTCTTCTGAACATTGACACAGCTCACATACTAGAACTATGCAACCTTTAACCACTTGGTCTATTGATTTTTTAGTTAGGAAAGCTGTACTGTATCCAAAAGACATCGTGTTCCACAAAACAACCTCAGGTAACTTACCCTCAGCTCAATGGACCACCCTATCTACTAAACACTGACACAGCCTCAAATACTAAAACCATCTAACCCTCAACTACTTGGTCCAGAGAGATCTCCTAGCTACGCAAGCTATACCCACGTCTCTTCCAATCATCCTGGTATCCAAAAGAACTCAACCCATCTCACGAACAGCCTCAGTTAATTTGCTCCCACCTCTCTGAACCATTCTATCCCAGAAACGTCGACAAATCTCAAACTCTAAACTATCCTACTACCCTCAGGCACTCGATCCAGCGATCTCCTAGTTAGACAAGCCCTATCCAATTGGTATTAAAAAAAATCTGCAACCTTCCGTAAGATCAGGCCCACTGGGCTCGTACAGTAGATGCTTCACGGTCTCCCGGGTCGGCAGACCCGGAGCCATTGTCATGACGCAATTGTCTGTACGCGGTGAACAACAGACAACAAGGCGCGTAGCGAGATCCGCGGCGGTACGAAAAAGGAGAAGCTGGCAGAGCGGTGGGACGCGGCGGAGAAGGAAGAGCGACGCGAGAGAGAGAGAGGCAGAGAGAGAACAGGGTGCAGGAAACTGGAAGGAAGGAGGTCCCGACCCGGTCTGGTCCTCGGTCTCGCAGACTCTCTGGCCTTGAGCCGGCGCAATGCTAGCAATGCAGGTGAACCACTCCTCTCCCTTTCCTTCTTTCGCGCTCGACCACCTTCTGCGTCCGTCTCCGTCCCGGCGCGTCCACCTTTCTCCATCCCGACGCTATCCTTCGCGGTCCTCATCCTCCGCGCCCCCTCCCTCTCTCTCGCTCCAACCTCCCTTTCGTTCCGTTCACTCTCTCCTCCGGCGCACCAACCGAACGCGACACACGCGGCTGAACACCCCGCTACCAGCCGATCGCATACCTTCCTCTCTGCTTTCCGTTTCCCTGCCGCCATGCCACGCCGAGCGTTCGCTGCGCCGCTTTTTAATTGCGTCTATCGACTACGTACATAGCCCGCGATCGTTAATCACCCGGTGATTTTGAACTTGCGGCAAGGTAGCAGAGCGTGACCGGTTTTTGTCGCTCATCACGACGAGACCGGAGCGGGATTTCGCTCGTGAGGTTATGTTTCATCGAGTGTCTCGACGGAGACGTCCACCATGCAAGGGGGCAATTGGCTCGCAGATTTTTGACAATTGTAGGAAATTATTTGCGACTTTTCTTATTTTTATTAGTTAAATTAGTTAGATTAATTACATGTACAGTACCAGGCAAAAGTTTGAGTACGTGTATTAATATGAGAAGTATATACACATTTTAAATTTTGTATACCATTGATACCCTTAACACTTTGCACTCGAAAGGCGCCATTTAATAAAATTTCGAAGATCGATATTCATAAATATGTGAAATTTTAGATAATGTGACTGTGTGCGAGGTATCGAAATGAAATAATTCTACGTGTTAATTATCATAGGATTTATTGTTCCTGCTCAGAAAAATATCGTCAGCTTTGTAACAGGAAATCATTGAACTCCTATTCTTCTTTGGCCAAAGAATCGTCGAGTGTAAAGGATTAATAAAATTGATGTTTGTCGAATTTTAACTTGGTTTTGAATTTTAATTTGAATTTTAATTTATTTAATATAACAATTTTCTCAGGATTTTCTCAAAATTAAGAATTACATTTTCATTTTAACATTTGCTGATTATAGTTGTTTGCAATAAGATTGATATTAACTTTTACTTGTACTGTACTTGTATAATATTGCAGGAATATTGATATCTATGAAAAATAAAACTCTGTGTTTACTTAATTTCCATACTGTACTTTAATTAATATCATTGATGTACAGGTTATCCAATTTCAATTTAAACGCTAAAATATGTGAAAAATTAACTTTCTCGAAGAAGGAAATAAATTCAAACAAAAACTGTAATAGCAATACCATTCATTTCTAATTTGCTGCACACATTTAACCTTACTCAAAGGTCTGTGTGAGATTGCTTTTACGGAATGTGTCATTAGCGAGGATATGAATGTCTGCATGGAAGGATGAGAGATTATTAGGTTAGGTATCCATTAGTTCATAGGTTTAAGTTGGCAACACAGTGTGGGATATGAGGATGGGAGATTATATAGAGATTATACGGTATACAGTATATAATAAACATAGAGAGTATGTAGAGAATATATAGAGAGCATATAAGGTATATAGAGAACATATAAGGAATATAGAGAGCATAGGCAGAGTATATAGAGATTATATGGTATATAGTAAACAATAAATATAGAGAGTATATAGGAAATATAAAGAATATATAAAGAATACTGAGAGAGTAGACAGAGTATATAGAGATTATATGGTATATAGTATACAATAAATATAGACAGTATCTAGGGAATATATGGAGATCATATAGGATATATAGAAAATATATAAAGAATACAGAGAGAGTAGACAGAGTATATAGAGATTATATGGTATATAGTATACAATAAATATAGAAAGTATATAGGGAATATATAGAGAGCATATAGGGTATGTAAAGAATATATAGAGAATATAGAAAGATTAGATAGAATATAATGAGAATATACAGAGTGTATATAGAGTATATAGAGTGTATATTGAGTATACACAAGGATACAAAGAGTGTGTAGATATACAGAGGGAGTACAGAGAGTATATGGAGAGTATAGAGAGTGCATAGAGAATATGCAGAGAGAGTATATAGAGTATACTGAGTATATAGAGTATACAAAGAGTATACAGGGAGAGTATATAGATTATACAGAGTATATAGAGAGTACATAGAGAATATACAGAGAGAGTATAG